AAACGAGTTTCTTGAACAAGAAATGAGTTTATTTTTCAAAAAACGTGTTTCTTGAACAAGAAACGGGTTTCTTGAACAAGAAACGAGTTTCTTGAACAAGAAACGAGTTTATTTCTCAAGAAACTAATTTCTTGAACAAGAAACCCGTGTCTTGTTCAAGAAACTAGTTTCTTAAGAAATAAACGGGTTTCTTGAACAAAAAATGAGTTTCTTGAACAAGAAACCCATTTTTTGAGAAATAAACGGGTTTCTTGAAAAAAAAAAACGAGTTTCTTGAACAAGAAACGAGTTTATTTCTCAAGAAACTAGTTTCTTGAACAAGAAAGTTTCTTGTTCAAGAAACTAGTTTCTTGAGAAATAATTTCTTGTTCAAGAAACTAGTTTCTTGAGAAATAAACTCGTTTCTTGAACAAAAAATGAGTTTCTTGAACAAGAAACCCGTTTTCTGCTCAAGAAACTAGTTTCTTGAACAAGAAACGGGTTTCTTGAACAAGAAACGAGTTTCTTGAACAAGAAACGAGTTTATTTCTCAAGAAACTAGTTTCTTGAACAAGAAACCCGTTTCTTGTTCAAGAAACTAGTTTCTTGAGAAATAAACGGGTTTCTTGAACAAAAAATGAGTTTCTTGAACAAGAAACGACTTTCTTGAACAAATTTCTTGTTCAAGAAACACGTTTTTTGCTCAAGAAACTAGTTTCTTGAGAAATAAACGAGTTTCTTGAACAAAAAATGAGTTTCTTGAACACATTTTTTACGAACTTACCTAATAAATTGTTTGTTACAATAAAATTAATTGTGAAATTATTTTAATTTATTTTAATATGAAACGAGATGGATCGGGTAAATCCCAAATTTAAAACTCGGGTTACCGATTTACCCAAAAAAACCCACTAACCCACCGGGTAAAACCCAACCCAAACCTGAAGATCACCAACCGGGTAAAGGCTCTGGTTTGGGTATGGTATACATGCGGGTCGGGTTAATGTTTGTGAAAACCCGTACCCGACCCAACCCATTTACATCCATATTAATCTCATCTTTTTCATTCTCCCTCCCAAATTTGCAAAACAGATACTCCACATCTTTTTCATTCTCCCTCCCCGCTTTAGTAAAAACAGAGAGAGAAGAGAGTTCGAGCTGCTCACATCTGTTTGCTTGTCTACTCCAAGTTACCTCCGCTGCACTTCAGCGAATTAACCGGCAATCGACGCACAACTGCTTCCGTCCTCCGTCAAGGAGACCTTCGATACTCCTCTCCTCCGGTGAATCCAAAAAAACCGCCGTCACTATCGCTTGACTTCGGCTTCCCTACTCGAGCAGGTCGACCCTCAAGGTGTCGTTCACAAAATTGAAAATTTTATAGGGTTTGCTTAGGGTTTTTTTATCTTTTTTTATCTTTTTAATAGTATTGAGTTATTTTGGTCGAAAGCCATGGGAAGCTACTGAATTAGGTTTTCAATATTGTAAAATTGAAGTTTGGAAAAA